AAGGGTACTCTCAACCAAAGATGTACCCCACATACTTTGCCTCAGTTCTCCCAGTTGCACATTTGCCACGGCAGTTGTGAGAATTGTAATCTTTACACTACACTGCAGATGCCTCGTTGGTTCATCATTCTTTGTGTGATAGTAGTAAGGAGATACACAGTTAGTCAAACTTTTGACAGGTGCTACACCCCCATTCCTATGTTTATATCTGGGAGTCCATCCTGCCCCCCTTTCCTACCACAGATTGACATTACCCTCGGCGCGCATGTGCGTTTGTTGCCACGGGAGGTGCGACCTGCCCGGCCATGTCATCTCTCGAGTTCAATGTCCATTACAGTCTTAAGGCAGTGAGGAGCTATGGTTGTGTGCTGGTGCGGGATACAAGGGCCCTTAAAATTTCTGGCTTGATAAATCCAGTTCAATCCACGCATTGCATTGTAAATATCTGATTAACTTAAATTAAAAATACATTATTCTCAGTGTAACATCTCATACAGTACATTTCCAATACAAACTGTGATGCACAATGGTGCAATAGTGTGAAATGCTTCCATGAGCTTGGGCAGCCACTAATTGATTGCAGTATAACTCAGTTGTTTTTTTTTAGAATGGCTAATAATTGCTTTCACTTTTATAGCTCTTTTCTGGACACTCCACTCAAAGCGCTTTACAGGTAATGGGGATTCCCTCCACCACCACCAATGTGCAGCCCCACCTGGAAGATGTGCAGCCATAGTGCACAAGTACGCTCCCCACATACCAGCTCTCAGTGGGGAGGGAGCTATCAGAGTGATAAAGCAGTTCAGAGATTTAGCACTGTTCTTGTTCTTCTTGTTCTTCAACCATGACAAGGTTTGTTATTTCTATTTTGGAAAAAGTACTGTATATATATATAAAAACTATTTGTTTTTTTTTCCAGCAAAAGATGACATTGACGTGAAGGGAATTCAATACTATTATTAAAAATTTTCATTTTCTGAAAACTTACAAATAAATTTCATACTTCCAGAAATGTAGAAATGTGGAGTTACTTTCAGATATGCAGTGAAAGTGAAAGTAAAGTCTACGGCAGTCGTCATTAGCAGTCAAATCAGAAAGACAGCAAAAGAAGCTACAGGTGAAATAGGGATTAAGAGAGTCCGGTAAGTACTGTATATAAAATGTTTCTCGAGCTGAAATTGGTAGCGGAGCTGAAAGACAATCGATGGTGTAAACTGGTGTTAAAACGTTTATGAAGCTTTAAGCTAAATTCTTTAGAGAAGAAAGACTCAATAAAATAATGCGATGTGTACAATTCACTTATTTTAAAAATTAAATATAGAATGCAAATATTAATATAGTGTAACGCTTACGGCCGACAGGCACTGTGTAAGAGCCGGCGTACCAGAGCAGGTGACGTCACCGCCCTTCCCTGCGATAGCAGGACTACAGCTACTGGGCTGTAGAGAGATCTCTCTTTAGCTCACGGGGCTGGGTCACTGCAGAGAGATGCGGATGTCCCAGGTTCGAGCCCCGGACAGTGCGGGGCCGACCTGATGCGGCAAGGGCGCCTGCCAGAGCCCCCGTTGCGTTACATTGGTGTCAGAGTGGGGTGGGATAGCCCTTCACCGGGGACGGCGATTTAAGCGGGGGAGAGTGTAACACATACGGCCGACAGGCACTGTGTAAGAGCCGGCGTACCAGAGCAGGTGACGTCACCGCCCTTCCCTGTGATAGCAGGACTACAGCTACTGGGCTGTAGAGAGATCTCTCTTTGGCTCACGGGGCTAGGTCACTGCAGAGAGACGTGGAAGTCCCGGGTTCGAGCCCCGGACGGTGCAGGGCCGACCAGATGCGGCAAGGGCGCCTGCCTGAGCCCCCGTTGCGTTACAATATATTTAATAAAATATTGAATATAAATTATATACAGTAGGTAAGTAATACAAACGCACACTTACTGCGTATCCACCTCGATATTATATCTACCTACTGCGTTTCAGTTTAGTGCTGTTGTGTGTTATGTCTGAAGGCGTATCTTTCACTTTCACTTTGTTCCCAGCGGGTGCGCGGTGCTGATTAACTTAACCCCACTGCGAAGGCATTCGTTTTTCATCAGCACTGTGTCGTTTCTGCACTCTTGATCATATTTGTTACGAATCGTTTTGAATGTTATCATTAAAATAGAGAACATCTGGGTGCACATACGGTACATTTTGCTGTTTGGAGCTTTATCATGCCACACAGAAATCACATTAGTAAAACATTAAGAACTGAAATAACAAGAAGTTACTTTTATCAATGCAATGTTCATATTTAAATGTCGAAATTTCTTGCACACCCATAATCATGATTTATTCACAGTTTGCTTATGACGCTTAAATAGAAAGAAATAATACTCATATAGTGATCTTGTATGTGTTGCTGTTTGTAGTTGTTTGGCCAAGCTTGTATTTTATCTAAATCATTTTATTTTATGTTTTCAAGTAGATTGATCGAAGTAGCAGAGATACATTAGGAGTTTTGTACTAGTCCTGTGTAAGAGTTAAGGTATGTTTATAATGTAGACAGGTTTCTCCTGCACAGCAACACTGGTTAATCTGTAAAAGGATTGTCCAGTCCAGAACTGGTGTGATTGTACATGTACAAAGTCCTTGAACACAGTGGTGTACAGTATAACTGAGAGAAGAGTATTTAGAAAATTGGCTTTGATGCACACTTGGTACCATGTTTTTTTTGCTTTGGGATAAAATGATTGCTGTGTACTGTTTTTCATATTAGTCTATGTTAATTAAATTACAATGTACAGTATGTGGATATAATTATTTCATCACAAAAATCTTGATGTACTTAGAACTTAACAGCTGATTTTTTAATTTCTTTTTTGGTTGTTTGCATGTGACAATGGGCAATCAACGATGAAGGAAACTAATGACACTTTTTTTGTAGTAAGTAGAAAATTATGATTTGTAAACAGATGATACAGTGAACTGATGACTGATTCACTGCAATAAGATGGTTTTTGTATGCAATACTAGTTAATTAGTATTAACTATATAAATTAGTATAATCATATAATTAGTTAATGATGCCATCAGTAAATCAGCAATCAGTATGCCAATGAACTCACAGAGGTACCCAGTCAGCAGCTTGTCATGATTTTTTTTTAAATAATCTGATGTAGGACTGAACTTCTCTGTAAAACTGCCAGATGGGACAGTGAATACTTAACCCATTAGTGTTTTCATGCACTAATCATACTGTATGCATAGTAGCAGGAATACAGTGACTACTTTGTTGAAACAGGAAGTTGTTACCACGTTGCAACCCCAAATAAATATGTCCCAATACTATATAATACCAATAGAATTACTAGGTTTAATTACATACAGTATATAGAGTTAATAGTAATTGTGTATAAATCATAATTAGAAAATAGATACATTTATTTTAGATTTTCATTTAAAAATACATTATACATAGTAGCTGTAAGAACATCATATTTAAAAGAAAAAAGGAGAGAAGAACAAAAGATAAACATTTACAATACTTTTGGATTTTTTGCATCACATTGTACATTTCTAAAATTATTTTTTTAATTTAAAGTGGAACGTAGTTTTTAAAAAAAGGCTCACTACATGAACAAAAACACTCTTTAATTTCACATTCTATAAAGTATTCTGCTAAGTTATATTCACAGATATCCATACTGTGCATCAGCTACTGTATTAATGCTACTCTTCTACCGTGCTGTAATAGAGGGCATTATCAGATATGATATTTCAGTGTGGTTTGGTAATCTATCAGTTAATTTTAAATCGCAAATTACCTGCCTCATCCAGACAGCTTTGAAAGTCATGGGAGTGGAACAGCACCCCTCCCTGCAGACAATCTTTGAAAAATCCATAATCAAACAGGCAGGGGAAATTATATCAGATCCTTCCCACATCCTCAACTCTGAATAGCAACTTCTTCCTTCTGGCAATCGTTTTAGGGTTCCCAAATGTAAGCCAAACAAATACAAACATTCCTTTGTTCCATTATCCATTAAAGCTGTCAACGCAAATGTCGAGGATAAACACATTTTTGACTCTTACAACCCTGTGCAATATGTTTTTGTGATGTGTTATAAATGTTACATGTTGTTATGTGTTATACTGTACATGTGCAATAAAATAATGTGCAATGTTTTTCTTTTCTTCTCTTTTTTTTTGCATTCGATTTAAATGTACAGGAGTACTGGGTGTCCATAAAACAATTCCCTCAGGGGACAATAAAATCTTATCTTATCTATCTTATTGCCAGAAAATGGGGGAAACATGCCCTAAACCAACCTTCTGGGCATATTATATAGCCAATAACAGAAATATGCTTGAAATGTAAAATAAGTATTATACATATATGCTGTATTTCTGTCCAGTTTCCAAATATGGAGTTTGAGGTTAGTTTGGGACATGTGTTTAACTTTTTCATAGCTTAAGATGGAGAGGCCAGGATCACCAGATCCCAGTAATCTGTCTATGAAGAGCGATGACTCAAAAGAGCAACACATTGACTTTGGTGGATCCGTCATTCCAGACCCCAGGTGAGGTCACTCAGTCAACCTTTTTGACAGCTGGACAAGGCATAGGACTGTATGTTCCATAAAGTAAAGACTTCATATCAGGTTATGTACATACAAAAAATAGCTGAAAATCAGTCTGACATAATTGGACACCATTGTCCATGGAGAGTGATATTATAGGGCTAAGTTTGTGAGCAAGGATCTGATGTGCAGTATTAATACATATATACTTGAATACAAATAGAATACAATGATTGTTCAAGTGGAGAGTCACCAATGAATAAGTACAGATTAATCCTACAGTGAAACTCAGAAAAAAAAATGTTTAATCTATTGAGTCTCTTCAGGTGCTAGGGAATGAGATGAACAGTGCAGGTAATATCAAGCAACATAGGAGAAAAAATGTCCTGTCAGAATTGGCACAACAGATGAAAAAGTGACTAACAAAATTAAAATCTGTTAAAGAAGTGTGAAAAGCTGTAAAATCTATAAACGATTGCAGAAAGAGTAGAGCTTTTCAAACAAATCTACTATTTTGTATAACATACAGTACTGTAAATGTAAAACAGATATGTTTCTCCCTCATACTTGAAGAAGGCTAAAAAATCAACCAGATGTATTTTTTCTTTGTGCTTTTCAGAAATGTGTGGAATTAACCCTTTACTTTTTCCATGTGCAAAACTGTATTCAAAAAATGCATTAATGTATAAATCAATGCATTCCACAGGCCTATATTCTACAGACTCAGAAATACAGTATGCTAATGCTATAATCTGCGAACACTATGATACCTAAACAGGCTAAAAAGAGAAAAAAAATGCATCCTTATAAATGGATGCTAAACAGAACTAAATCTTTCTTCCTATGATATCAATGATCTAAGTCTAAAGTAACTGAGAATCACCAAACTGGGGTAGTTTGTTTTTGGCTGAAGATAATACAACAGAGGGAATGAGAATTTTCTAAAATAACATGAACATGAACTCTCTGATGATATTCAGATTGCTTAACATGGTCTTCAAGACTAATCAGATCAATGTACATTTTGTGTGGTACACATTTTGAGAAAGAGGTGATGTTTCTTCTTCTCTTCATGTCTTCTCTGTTTATCTTTCACCCTGTCTCTTTCCTTGTGCCTCTTTTTTTCTTCCTTTGCTTCTGGATTGATGTTGTTTCCTATAGCTGTAGTGATCTTCATAAAGTGAATTAACCTGAGTAAATCACCAGCAATCGCCTTCAATCATCTA